TCGGATCCAGACTGGAACTTGCACCACTGGCTCTCCCGGGCCTCCCGCAAGCTCGCTGCAGATCTCGGGACTTAGCACCACAAGCACATGAGCCAGTTCCTTATGATCCGTCTGTCGATCTTGAGCTGGGACATTGGTCTCCTCCTGTCTTCGGATCCAGACTGGAACTAGCACCACTGGCTCTCCCGGGCCTCCCGCAAGCTTGCTGCAGATCTCGGGACTTAGCACCACAAGCACATGAGCCAGTTCCTTATGATCCGTCTGTCACTGTGTCTGTCCCACTCTATCCATCCACCCATCCCTCTCTGTATCTATCTTGTGTTTTCAAGGCAAGACCATGGGGGCTCTGGGGGGAGTCATAAGACGTGCAGGCTAGGTCCAGAGCCATTTTCTATCCATATCTATCCCAGAGCCCTATTCTATCTATCCATCCGTCCATCCGTCCGTCCGTCCATCCACCCATCTCTCCCATTGGCTCTGCTCTCTGGAGACCCCTGACTAATTCAATGGTCTTTCCCATCTATGTCCCCAGGACTCTGCTCCCATCTAACTGCAGCCCTCCCCACAACAAACACTACTGGTTTAACCCTTGCCTGTCCTGTTACATTTCTGTAAAATTCGAGCCCCTCACTGGCAATTCCTCCAGGCCAGGCAGAGTTGCCAAAGGCANTAACACACACACACAAACACCACACATGCCACACACACCCCACAGTGCACACACACACCACGGCACACCACACACACACACGCTCATACAGCACCACACACCACACCACAACACACTAACACCACACACCCCACACACCCCACAGTGCACACACACACCACGACACACCACACACACACACTCATACAGCACCACACACCACACCACAACACACTAACACCACACACCCCACACACCCCACAGTGCATGCACATCACAACAAAATGCAGACCACACACACCCCACAGCACACACACACACCACACACCACACACATCCCACAGCACACACACACACACCACACACACACACACATACACACACAGAGCCTGGATCCATTGCTGCCCACATGGAGCCAGAGCCCAGAACCAGCAAGCCACCAGGCCACTGAGCCATTCTGGCCCAGAGCCAGGCCAGGCCCGGACTGAGAGGGACTAGATGGGGCCATTTGCCACTTGTCCGAGCCCTGCCCACCGCCCCACACAGTGGGCTGTTTTCCCTGGTGGTTTCCGTCTCCTCTTTGGGGGTCTGGGATCCTGTCTGGACCCCCAGTTTTGGCTCAGGCCTACCCCCGATCTCAGGAGGCAGGGAGGGGAGGAATCTGTTGGATGAGAAAGGGGCCTGCTAGGGAGGGCCCCCCTCGGGCAATGGTGAGGTGGGGAGACACCTTCTCTGCTGTACCATTGACCTGGTAGGGGACTGGGCCTCAGTGCCACAAACACAGTGCCTCTAAGACTTGTTCAGGCCTCCAGGACTTCATTTCCCTGGACACCCAAGGCCCTGAGCGTGGGCCCCGGATCCAGGCCGGGCTACTGTAATTGGGACGAGGTGCCCCTCGGGGTCTGGAAGCATATCTGGGCTTCAAATTCTGCTTCTGCTGCCCCTTGCTAGGGATTTGGGGCAAGTTACTTAATTTCTCTAAAGCCTGATTTATCCACCTGTACAATGTGGGTAGTGAGACTATGTTGCAGTGAATCAAACAACACATTCAAAGTGCTTAGCTGTATGCATCCTAGGAAGTCCTCAGTGAATGCAGGCGGATGCTATGCTGGCCCAGCACTGGTTCCCACAGGAAGGTCAGCCACCCAAACAGAAAATGCCTGCGGTTGCATTGTTTTCTTTTCTTGTTTTTATTTATTTTTTATTTTTTTGGGGGGGGGGGTTGCTGCATTATTGAAGGCTCAAATTTCAGAGTAAGGGAGGTGACAATCCTACTTTCCTGGGGGTTGATCATGGCCTGCCCAGATGAATCGTCTTGGGCATAACACCCCACACTCCCACCCTCCCATCCATGACCCAGGGTTTCCTTTTTTACATTCCAAGCACTTTCCAGTCTCGGGAGTTGTTTCTATAGCCCTGTGTTTTCCCAGGGAGCATGATGCCATGCAGGGGTGTGAGAACAGCCGAAAGGGCCATGGAGCCACCATTCCAGGGTGAGGGGGGTCCCCATGAAAGGAAGAAGGTCTGAGCCCATCCCTTGAGCAGCCTCCTGGGGCACGTTCAGGGCGAGACCATGGGGTCCTGGGGGAAGTCACAGACATGCATGCTAGACGGGGAGCCATTTTCCTGAGGTTCTGTTGAGTCCACGCACACTGGACCTCACGTAGGCACGTGCATTGTTAGGTCTGCCGTCTCTAGCATGAGGTACACGTACACAACTGCCAAGGGACTTCAACCAACTTCAGGTGTCCACACAGGATGGCAAAGGGTCTAGGATCCCCTAGGGCAAGAGGGAAACTTGCAGGGGACAGGACATGAGGAAAAGGGGGCAGGCACAGGGCCAGCAGTGCAAATTACTAGGGAGGGACAGGAGGTGGCACTTTCTAACAACCAGCCCTGGAAGAGCTGGCTCCAAGACAGAGGAAGAGGCTACGGAGAATTCGTTCGTGCTGGGGAGATGCTTAGGTGACAGAGTCTTGGGTTCAGTTCTGGGGTCTTTTCCCCTCTGATGAGCTGGGTTTCTTGGCATATGGCCACCATCTTTGGGGTCTATTTCCTCTCTCTCCCAGGCAGCAGTGGACCCCCAGAGGAACCACACTGACTTCTGTGAGCTCCTCCTGGGGCAGGGTCCACCAGGACCCCCAGACCCACGTCTTCCACATTTGGGCAGAAGCCACTATGAGATTAATTTTATTCATCAACTTGACTGGGTCACAGGGTGCCCAGACTTGTGGTCAAACATTATTCTGGGTGTGTCTGTGAGGGTGTATCTGGATGAGATTAATGTGAATTGATAGACTGAGTAGATCAGGTTGCCCTCCCCGATGTGCGTGGGCCTCATCCAATCCGTTGAAGGCGTGAACAGAACAACAAAGAGAGAATTTACTCTTTGCTTGACGATCTTGAGCTGGGACATTGGTCTCCTCCTGTCTTCGGATCCAGACTGGAACTAGCACCACTGGCTCTCCCGGGCCTCCCGCAAGCTTGCTGCAGATCTCGGGACTTAGCACCACAAGCACATGAGCCAGTTCCTTATGATCCGTCTGTCACTGTGTCTGTCCCACTCTATCCATCCACCCATCCCTCTCTGTATCTATCTTGTGTTTTCAGGGCAAGACCATGGGGGCTCTGGGGGGAGTCATAAGACGTGCAGGCTAGGTCCAGAGCCATTTTCTATCCATATCTATCCCAGAGCCCTATTCTATCTATCCATCCGTCCATCCGTCCGTCCGTCCATCCACCCATCTCTCCCATTGGCTCTGCTCTCTGGAGACCCCTGACTAATTCAATGGTCTTTCCCATCTATGTCCCCAGGACTCTGCTCCCATCTAACTGCAGCCCTCCCCACAACAAACACTACTGGTTTAACCCTTGCCTGTCCTGTTACATTTCTGTAAAATTCGAGCCCCTCACTGGCAATTCCTCCAGGCCAGGCAGAGTTGCCAAAGGCACCATCTTGCCACTTCGTAGCAGGTCACCTGCCCCCGCCACACACACCCACCTGGCTCCCCCATCAAGGCTCAGTGATTCTGGAGAGTTGTGCTATGAAATACCCTCCGGCAGTACCACTGACTCAGAAGGCACTCGGCAGATGGACACATCATTTCTATTAAAAGAAGCACGGGGCCGGCCCCGTGGCTCACTCAGGAGAGTGCGGCGCTGGTAGCGCCGAGGCCGCGGGTTCGGATCCTATATAGCGGTGGCCGGTGTGCTCACTGGCTGAGTGTGGTGCAGACCACACCGTGCCGAGGGTTGCAATCCCCTTACTGGTCAGAAAAAAAGAGATAAAAGAAGCATGGAGTCTTAAAAGATATGAAAATGACTAAAATCAACAAAATAGCTGCTGTCCCTGAGGCCTGCTGTGGGGCTGGCTCTGGGCCACATTCTCTACACCTGTGACCTTGAGCCATCTGCTGCCCTTATGCTGCTGTACAGGTGCAGACACTGAGGCACAGAGAAGCCCTGTGGCCTGTCGGAGAGGAGGGCACCTCCTTGGCCAAGGGGCTCATCTTAACCGGCCTGGGCCTGTCATGGTCATCTGACATCCCTTTCCAGGACACTGGCCTGGGTGTAAACATGGGCCATGGCTTTGGCCTTGAGATGAGAGGCTGGCAGGGAGGGGACGGGGTGGGGGGAGAATTCTGGAACGTTTTGCTCCTTCTCAGAGGAAGGGCAGAGGACAGGATTGCTTCTGGATGCTCCTGGGTGTGTTTGCTGTATTGCCCAGAACTGCAACAGTGGCTGCAGGGACCCCAAGGAGACTAGTGTAAGGACAAAAGTTGACTCTCTGAGCTGGGGGGCAGGTGGTAGAGAAGGTGGGAAAGACCTGGGGTTGTTAATAACGCTGTTGAGCCACTGAATCAGCCACACCCACAAGGCACTGCCGTGGGACTTCTCGGCACGGGAGACAAACACCCCCATTGCTAAAGCTCCTTCTGCTGGGCATCCGCTGCTGGGGCCAGAAGTAGGAACGGCCGCAGAGGAGGCAGGATGAGAAACCAGGGCTGCCCACCCGACGCCCTGGTCCACACCCATCCTCTCTTGCAAGGTGGCTTTCCTACCACCTTGCTGATTAGACCACAGAGGGAGACGGGGAAAGGAGGGAGGCTTGGGCGCCAGTCAGACCTGCCAAGAACAGTCATCTTTTATTTCCACGAATGTTTCTTGGCATTAGGCAGATATTGAAAAACAGGCAGCTCAAGATTTATAGACACAGCAACGGCTAGAGGGATGCAGGAGGCACCGAGGTTTCCAACAACAGCTGGACTCCAGTGAATCCACCTTTCCTGCAGAGGGAGGGCCACGGCCTTCAGAATGAGGGCTCCCGTGGGCAAACAAAAAACTCAGAGAATTCGTTTATTTGATCATTTTAATACCAGAAGTGCCAGACCAGTCAACAAGGAGGACAGACCAGACACAGATGCCCGCGCTCACCACGCGGACGGCAGGCCGCGCCGGCGCTGGGCACGCATGCATTTCCTGTGCAAACGGGCAGATCGAGAGCACATAAATACCACAAGACAGCCAGGCTCAGAGGGTCACAGGCCACGGGGGGACCACGCTTCAAAGGCAGTCGGAGGCATTAAATACGGGACCTACATGTTACATTTCACTGCACCATACATATAATTTATATATTAAAAGAGAGGAGACCACAGTATGTACACGTGCAAGCAGCTTTGGTCAGAGAAAATGAACAAGGTGAAGCCATGCACGGGAGGGGCCTGCCCGTCTACTCTCCCTCCACCCTCGCCCGCTCCTCTCCCACAGAGTCATTTTGGGATCACAAGATAAATTAGCTGGCCTGGGCACCATCTTGGAAATTCCTGCCTGGTATCCTTGGTGCAGTTCTCTGGGTCCCCTGGGGCAAGGAGGTGCCCTGGAGCCAAGAACACTTGAATCCCGCATGTCATCACATCTCTGGGAGTCGCCCTGGAAGGACCAGGCCGGGGGGGGGAGGGGAGGAATGTCACATTGGTCAGGAGGGAGGTGCAGCCGGCTGGGCCAGGTAGGTCGCCGCTTTGCCTGGCCCCGGGTCCGGGAGAGCAGGAAGGACGGTGGAGGCAGCCACCTTTGCAAGCAAAGCTTAAACGGCAAGACAAGCCTGTGCTTCTCTGCAACTGTCCAGAGGCCCTTTCCCTTAGAACTGGCTGGCACTGCTGGGGTCGCACTGCAGCAGCCGCACGATGGAGGGGTCACTCTTGGCACCTTTGATGAATTCTTCCAGGGACAGTTTGCCTGCGGGGTAGAGAGAGGAGAAATCAGAATTAGCCAGTGCTCACTGTTCCTTACACCTCCAGAGAGGACGGGACAACTCTCAGGTCAGGGACACCCCGCTGGTCAAAGCCTTGAGCCTTCTTAAAACTGGGCAGGGTCCAGTCTCCACTCACTTAGCAGCATTTCTGGAAAAAACCCTTTTTGCTTTCACTGCTTCCTGCAAAGCACTGGGCAATTCAAAGGACACACCCAGTAGGACAGGGTGATGCGGCCGATGAGAATTCAAATCCTTTTGGAAATCACCCCACACTTTACTTACTAAGAAATACGTGACTTGTCCAGAAAGAATATGGCATTTGCTTCTCACCCATAAATAATTCAGGGCTAAGGAGGCCACTCTGGTTGGGTGATCCTGCGGCAGCCCAGGCCGTGGTCTCCTACTGGCAGCTTGGCCGTGCACTGGCTATGGCATAGGCCTGCTGCCAAGATTCAGAGTGTCACTTTCTGCTCTGTGACATCTGCCCCACACAGTGGGTGGGAAGATAAGAGAAAGCAGACTGGCCACGCTAAGGGATCAGCTGGTCCCCTGTCTGCTGTGCCTCCTCTACTACGGACACTGTCACTTCTAGAATCAGGAGATAGGAAAGTGGTTTCTAAACCTGAAGTGCCATAGAAATGTGAGTTCCACAGGAACCAATGCTGGTGACAAACGTGCACTCTCCCACGATGAAGACTTGGTTGAGTGCACTGGGCTGAGTGGCCTCCGGAGGTCGGCGGGCCCAGGGCGGGCCTGTGTGGCCGGGGGTGGGTAGTTCTGACCATGTGCTGCCCCCTTCCGCGGTCGTTTGTGACACGCCCACATGCGGTCATCACAGCGCTTGTTCTGTTCAAGTTCCACCTCCCAGGGCCCGCTCATCTCTCCAGCTGGTGGGGAAGGACCTGGGTATGGCGGGGACCCTGCACTCTGGAGGCCTGGGCCTTAGGGCCACTCCTCATCTCTGGCAGCTGTCAGATGGAATGCATTCTGTAGGATGGCTGGACAGGTGACATGGCGAGCCGTTAACACTCTGTGTCTTCACCTCTACAGCGGGTTGAGAGCAACGCCATCTCTAAGGGCTGCTGGGAGGTGAGTTTGAGGGGTTCAGCCCACGCCAGGCCACAGGAGGCACTCGGTCAGTGGCCACTGCTGTGAAGCCAGCTGCAGAGAACTGTCAGCAGGGAACCCCCTCCCACCTACTGCGGGGCAGGGACCCCCTGTCCTTGTGGGTCCCCAGTGGGGTGTGATCAGGCCGGCTTCTCTAGGGGCACAAACTTTATGCCCCTGGGGCCTGGGCAGTCTGCTGGCCCTATGGGTATCAGCTAATGCCCAGGATAAGGGACTGGGAAAGGAAGGGACAGCCACCCCCTCAGAAAAGGCCCCAGGACCCTTCGCTGATGTAGAGAGCAGCCGCAGGCCTTGCTACTCTCTTTATGGGTGGTGAGGACTTTACAGGCCACTCCTCCAGCCCTCCAGCCTCTGACCCCAGGGTGGCAGGCAGCGGGTATGTCTCCTTGGCTGTGTGGGGCCTCGAGGTCCAAGGTCCCAAAAGCCTCAAGGGTAGCACCAGGCTCATCCCCCAACTCCCTCCCTGCAGCCCAGGCCCCCTGAGTCTGAGGCTGAGGGAAGCAGGATCAGCCAGGTTGGCCTCTAGAAAGGAGAGCCCTGAGCTGAGCCAGGAGGCTCTCGGGACTTGTGGAGACACCGAGGGGCTTCTGAGACCTCCACCCCCTCCTTCTACAGACAGCAGGGTGGGTAAGAGTGTCCCTGAGCACAGTGTGTCCCGCTGGATGTGCATCCTGAGTGACAACTAACAGGAGAGGGTGGCGTTTATGATACTTGTGCCCTGGAGAAAGCCCATCAGCCCAGCCCAGGAATCCGGGAGAGCCATACACCTTCTGGGGTGGCCAGAGACAAATTGAGGGGCACCATCTGTTCCTGAGAAGTCCCCTGAGAAGCCTCAAGGACGAGGACTGTGCCCCTGACCTCCTTCTGCCTCTACCCTACTCTGCACCCTGGCTGTGGCCCCAGTTCTCCGCTATCACCTCTTCCTCCCCCTCCCAAAGCTCCAGGGATGGACAGGTCCCCTGAGCTCACAGGAGGAAGCGCTCTGTCCCAGAGGGCACATTAGCAAGTGGCACACACCATCCAAGTTCACAAACAACCTGGGAAGGTGCAAGGAGCCAGCCTAGCTGCTCTCTGATGGGGTGGGCCGGGCTAGGCCAGAAAAGCAGGTCAGCGCAGGTGGTTGTGGGTGGCTGGCCTAGGGACACCGTGAGGTCAAGAACAACAGCCACTATTTGTGGAGTGCTGGGCACTGTGCTAAGAGCTTTACAGGCATCATCTCATTGAATCCTCTCAACTACTCGAGATTGGATCTATTATCCCCATTGCACAGAAGAGTAAACTGAGGCTCGGGAGAGCCCAGACTCAGTGCAGGTCTGTTGGAATCCAAAATCTGTGCCTCGCTGCACTGGAGGGTGGAAAACACATTTTAAATTAGCCCAAAGGCAACGCTAAGCACAAGGCTGTCTTGTTTTATTTGTGAACGTGTTTTGAAAACTGTCACCCTGCTGTCTGGAATGCTTTTTGCTGCCTACAGTTACACCGAAACTCTCATCTCCCTGCTGGGCTCAGTCCTTTAACTCACCTGTGTGGTGCATTTTAGATTTTACAAAGCACTTTCTTGTGCATTAGCTTATTTTTAATCTCCAGCACAGCCGGGGAGTATTTTCTTTTCTTAATGTCGCATTTCCTTATCGTTCAAAAGCAAATCAAACCTGGTTCTGTGGCTGCACTTGACAAAGCCGCAAGAAGAACAGAATCACCAGGTTCCACAGCTGCCTCCCCCTCGCTTGGATCCTCCCAGAACCCAGCAGCTAATGCAGAGTAGGACACGCGAGGGCACATCCTCATGGCCACGGCCACCACCGTCCCTCCTCCTGAGAGCCGGCTGCAGCTGCTACAGGCAGACACGCAGCACCGCACCCCCTAGCAGAGCTCCCCCAGGACCACGGGGGCCATCAGGGAGCCTCACATCTCAGGATAGTGGCAAGAGAGGCACAGCCAGCTTCCCAGGGCCCCACAACCTGGGACACTTAGGTCCCAGGCGCCGTCAGCTTGCCCGCCTCCCCACCCCCAGATACACCCATGGGAATATTGGTACCCCAGTTTTATGAGTGAGGAGATTGCAGCTCAGAGGGGCCAGCAATGTGCCCGGGATTACCAAGCTGTGAGGAGGGAGCCAGGACGCAGGACCTGGGTCCCCAACTCTGAGTCCTGCTCTTCCCACAGCACAGCGGCACCAGGTGGGCAGGGCATGGGAGGGGCTGGGCTGAAGGAGGCTGAGAGTCTGCAGAGGGGACGCAGAGCATCCCGAGCACACCCCTGCCACCAACAGCATTGCACAGACACAGTGTCCCCCGCCTGCCCCTACCATCATTGTTCGTGTCCATCTGCCTGAAGATCTTGTCGGTGCGTTTCTCTGGGGTGGACTCGTCCTCAGGCATTTTCATCACGGAGGAGACCATCTTGTATATGGCCTGCAAAGAAGCGCATGGAAGGGTGTGCTCAGATCCTGGAGGTTGCAGGGGCAGGTGGGCAAATGTGTGAGCTGCCAGCAAAATGTCAGGAAAATGTTCCTGCTACTCATGGGTGAATCTCACAGTGGCATGCTGAGTACAGGAAGCCAGACACAGTTTGGCGAAGTTTAAGAGCAAAATGCCCCTGCCATGGTGGTGGTGAGGATGGGGGTTATCTCTGGCTGGGGGTGGGGAGGGTGGTGCTGGAAAGGAGCCTGAGGGGCCTTCTGTAGGGTGGCGGTGCCTGAGTGTGGGTGGTGGTCACATGGGCACATACATGTAAAGTTCACGCTGCCCACTTAGCTGTGTGCTTTTTACTATGTGGCTGTTATGACTCAATTAAAAAAAGAAAAAGACTGAGCCCCTGAAACTCACAGGGAGAACCACAAAGCCAGCCCCAAAAAGGACAGGATGTGGGGCAGCACTAGGGTCACTACAAGCAGACAGTGGGAACCTTCTCTTGAGGGCACTGCCGTCATCCCAGGGCTCAGCACTGCTGCAGGCCTCAGTGTGTCTCCCCGAGGCATCCACCCTGGCAGGTGCCTCCATGCTGGTGGTGGGTGTATGTGTACATGGCAGCGGGGGACGGTGATGAGGCCAGTGACTGGCAGCTGATCAGAGTGACATGTCAGGAAGAGGGGCAGCGCCACTGTGGGATTTTCTGAGCACTATGTGTGGAAGTGGCTTGACTGATAATCGCATTCCTGAGACAAAAGGCTAAGAATAGCCATTATATCTTAAGAGCAGGGTATCTGAGAAATAAAAAGAGTGACCCCAAGGTTTCTGATATGTATTACATGCTCCGCCCCCTCACCCCATCTCCATTTGAGGGCGGGGCTGGCCAGGCTGGCCCATCTCCCACCAGCTCACCATGGGGGTGAGGGGGAAGGTTCAGGACATCTTCCTGGGACTGGGCCATGAGTGCAGACCTAAACGCAAGGTTAAGACCCCCCGAGGTCTCCTCGGAAGCTCTGGGGTGCTGAACACACTAATCCACTTTGAGAAAGGTGCAGCAACCAGGAGTGCAGTGCGAAACACCACCCAGCCAGCCAGGGAGCCATCGGATGGCACTGGGGGAAGGCTTTCAGGGTTGGGGGCCTAGGAGCCATATGCCATCTGGACAAGAAAGGCTGCTCCTCACTGCTCTGCACGGTTCTAGCATTGTCTCTAAGTCCGGCCAAGCCAACTGCTCAGCCAGGGACAGGCACGTCCATCTGCACAGGGTAAGGGTTAACACGTGGGCTTGGACATGCAATTCCCAGGAACTAGAGTTCTTACTTCCACCACTGCTTAAGTGGTGAATGGACCCCAGAGTTCCCCAAGTGTGTTCATTTACTCTCACTATGTGAAAACCATCTATTTGGGAAACGGGCTGGTCACTCCTGAGGCTGGTGGAGGAGTTTGTGGATTTGAAACCCGCTGCAGGCGGCTTCCCATGTGTTCCTGACATGTGGAACTGCCCCTGCTCAGGTGTTCTGGAACTGGATCCTCTGGGCTCCAGGAAGTGCAGGGGGGAGACAGAGGGGAGGGGCAGCTCCTGGCTCTCTACTCACTACCACCCACCGAAACACGTGGCCAAGTGAACAAAACTTGGTTTCCTTCTGGAAAACAGCCTCATCTGCTGGGGCTGTTGACAGGCACAAAGTCCTTGTAAAGTGGTGTCCTTCCGGTGCAAGTTTATTCTCGTGGTCACTGACGTTTCAGTTTACCTTTCAACTGCACGTTCCTGGGGCGTTACAAGCTGTTTGTTGCATTCCTACACACACACACACACACACACGCACACGCACGTGCGCATGCATACACGCATTCCCAAATATAGGGCTTTCCCAGGGTCTTAGCAAGTACCTCTTGCAAGTGCCAAGGGTCCTGCAATGATCTAATTCTCAGCTCTGTTAATTCTTAGGAAATCGCCCCCCTGAGCCTCAAATTTTGTGAAATGCAGAGAATTTCCTATGGTTGTGAAGATGAAAACTGAGCAAAATCCTCCCTGGCCTGATCTATAGTGGTGATCCATAAACGTTGGCTGTGTCATTGCTGTGTGCCAGGACCCGCCCACTCAGGTGACGCCTGCTCACTTCCAAAAGCCCACCAGGTGGCAACCTGGCCAAGAGAGACCCAGTGTGGTGGTGAACATGAAGAGCCCTGGGCTGGGAGTGGGCCAGCCTTGGTGGAGCCCTGGCCTGCAGAGTGACCGGGGTCCCTGCAGGCCTCTGTGCCAAGCCCGTGCCCGGGTGCCACGGTACCTGCACGATCTCCAGCATCTCGCTGCGGCTGATGTAGCCATTGCCATCCAGGTCGTACATGCTGAAGGCCCACTTGAGCTTCTGCTCCAGCTTGCCCCGTGAGGTCACACTCAACGCGATGATGAACTCCCGGAAGTCGATGGTGCCATCACCGTTGGTGTCGAAGGTGCGGAAGACGTGCTCGGCGAACTTGGAGGCGTCGCCATAGGGGAAGAAGTTGGCGTAGATCTTCTTGAACTCGTCCACCGTCAGGTGGCCGGTGGGGCAGTCCTTGAGGAAGCCCTTGTACCACTCCTGCAGCTCGTGGTCGGTGAACTCCGTGTTCTCCCGCAGGTCCTGCAGCACCTCAGGCCGCAGCTTGCTGTTCTGCTTGCCCATGGTGGCCGGCAGAGGTGGCGACTACACCTGCAAGACAGGGGAGTCAGCTGGGGATATCGGTGGGGGTAGGTGGGGTCTGGCTCCTCACCACCTACAGCCACGGAGCAGGCTGAGCGACGTCCCCTGCATGTCCTGTATCACGGGCTGGAGAGACCAACAAGACCGTCATTGTGCAAGCCCCGTGTCTCAACACAGGTAAGATGCCCCGCCCTCGGAAGGCATGCCATTATTTTATGTGCACGAAGCCAAGACACCCAATTCAATCAGAACAGACCACCCTCACATTGCAAGACATGTTCTGACTCTGAGCACTTGGAACTGTAAAAAAAAGTTGTCACTTAAAAATCAAAGGAATGAGGCATTATCAAGTGCCCACTGCAGGTTGTACAGGAGCTGGGATGAAAATAAATCCTTGGTCTCATCACCCTCATCAGACCAGGGCAGAATGGCCACGACAGCTGCACCCGGACCTTTTGTTCTGAGCACTTCTCTCTTTTGGGTACTGCATTAGGCTTTTATCCTTAGGTGTCCAGAAACTTTTAGGGAGTCCCCCCTCTTTATTTCGCCTTTCAGAAACTGCTCTGCAGAGGAGAATCTAGAATTAGCACGAAGGAGTGAATGATGTCCTGAATGTTAATGGAAAAAAACGAGGCACCTGTGGGAATGGAGAGCAATGCTCTGACCAAAACCACAGCCCACGGGTGGCGTCCCACGAGGCCCGCTGTAAGACGGGTCCTGGGGCTCTTAGTACTACCAGACACTCGTGCAGCTTTCACTTCACCCCCTCGTGCTATTTTCTTACGTTAGCAGTCACACGTTTACATGGCTTAATAATTTCTGCAGCACAAAGAAGGACAGAAAAGAAAAAAATGTCTCCAACCCTCATCCCAGAAGCAACCACTTGGAACCACGTGATGAATCCGAAGCGGTGTGTACTGGGTCCCTGTTATGAAGGGTGAGCCACCAAGTTCCCGCACCTCCCGGCCACTTCTTTCCTCCTTCCCAGGTTTTATTAGTTTTATGTATACATGATTTCATTTTTACTTATCTTTATGACTTTCAATAATATACTTAAAGTTCCTTTCCTAACCTCTGCGTAGGGCAGTTTGGCAATGTCTTTCAAAATGACAAACACATGTGTGCTTTGTCCCAGCAATCCCACTTCTGGAAACTTATCTAAAGATACTCCCACCTGTGCAAATAACCAGTGCACACCACCAGTGCCTGCATCACTGCAACAGTAAACAAGCCAGATGCCCGTCATTACGTACTGATAAGAAATAATCATCAAGATGTGTCTTTCAGTGAAAAGAGGTGCACACAGCATATAAAGCTCGCTGTTTATTTAAAAAGAGGAAAAATATATGCATGTGTGTTTACGTCTCTGGAAGGACTTACTAGGAATTGACAATCTTAGCCAGGAGAGGAGAGAGGGCTGGATGGGCACAGGCTTGACGGTGACTTTTTACTGTAAACCCTTTTGCAATGTTGAGATGATGAACGCTGTGTATGTATCTTCTTTTTTTTCTTTTTTTCCTCATGTATGTATTTTCAATTCAAAGACTAGATACACAAAATAAAAATGATCAAACCTCTATTTCTCGTATGTATCTTCTTTTTTTCCTCGTGTATGTATTTTCAATTCAAAGACTAGATACACAAAATAAAAATGATCAAACCTCTATTTCTTGATCCAGCCACTGGACACACCATCTCCGGACTCTCTCCCTGCGAGAGCAGCTGTGGTTTTCTGTCTCCTTCCATCCACATTGCGCTTCTGCCATGAAACCACTTTTTTTACATTGTCGAGGTTTGCAACCTCTACTTTCTGCTTTACCTATAGGTTGATGCTAAAAAATGGAAACCAGCCGATCTCTACATAAATCTGACTCTCAGTTTCCCAGTCAGGGAGTGAGGTCAGGGGTGAAGGGAGGCCAAATTTGGGGGCTGCCAGAGGCGTGGGAAGTGCCCTAACCAGGCGAGCCCAGCTCTGCACATGTAGCCGTGTGGGGCCGACCACGCCAGCTGGAGTTAGTTTGCCCTAAAACGAGGACAGACATGGCCCCTCTTCTGTGGAGCTGAGGGATCACATTAGGCCTGGGACAAATGTACAGACGAGGGGGGGACCCCCACTCCCACCATCCAGCTCCCTGATCCACTGTGGGACTTGGGGTGACACCAGCCTGCCAGTGTGCTCCAGGGGGCTCAAAAAAGTCCTTTTAACACATAGCTAATTACGTGGATGTAAAAATCAAAATATCGCTACTGCTGTGGTATCTGGCAGCGGAGGAGAACCACAAAGCGCTAAGATTTTTACGTACCAGAAGGCTCTGAACCAGGTTTGGAGATGTGAGCTCACTCTCGCTGCTGCTATTACTGTCACTGCTCTTGGGCCTCACTCAGCTGAGTTCTGAGGTCCTTCTGGTGTCACCCCAGAAGACCCGATGATGGCTCCATGTCCAGAGAACCCCTTGGAACGGAGGGCGGTGTCCCCAGGACTGCACAGTGCACAGGGCGAGCTCGCTGTGGCCGTCCTGCCTCCTCAGGCACAGCTGGTGTTATGGTTTGACTCATGTCCCCCTCCAAAAGATGATGAAGTCCTAACTCACAGTACCTGTGAATGTGACCCTATTTGGAAATAAGGTCTTTGCAGATGATCAGGTCAGGAGGAGGTCATCAGGGTGGGCCCTAGTCTGATATCACTGTGGCCTTATGAAAAGGGAAACTCTGGACACAGAACCACAGAGCAGGAAGACACAGCCACCTGCATGCTGAGGCTACAGAAGCTGGACACAGATGTGGAGGATCCTCTGTCCAGCCCTCAGAAGGAACCAACCCTGCTGACACCTTGGTCTCAAATTTTCAGCCCCCGAACCGCGACAGAGTGTTCCTGTTGTCCTAAGCCACCTAGTTTGTGAAACTTTGTTCGGGCAGCCCAAGGAGCTCACACCCAGGGAGACACACGGCTCTGCTCAGAGCCAGGCACCTCCTGGCCCTGTGGCTCAGCTCTTGTCCCAGCCAAATGCAAGGGCCCGAGGCCAGCACCACACGTGGGGTTGGAAGGCCCGGGAGCCACTGGGGCCTCGGCTGGGTGTGCGTCCACCATCCGCCTGGCTGCCCGGCCATCCAAGGTTCTCCCCTGGCGCACCCCGGGCCTGTCCCTCACAGCAGCCCTGCCCCCCACCCCGTCGCCTCTGTGCATAGGGCATGGACGAGGCCACCCTCGGCCTCTGGGGTGCATCGCCACTAGCGCATTCTCACACATGGGCGCACACTAGTGCAGTCTCACACACGTGTACACACACTAGCATGTTCTCACACACGTGTATGCACACACATGGAGACTTGGGGTCCAGAAGGCCCCTCGTGCTGGGCAGGGCATCTGAGGATGACTCTCCAGAAGCTTCTCCAGCCACTGAGCAGACAAGGACAAATCCACACGCAGAGCCCACGGAGCTTGTGATGCTTTCACAAGTTACTTCCACAAACAAGTCCAGCAGTCCTGAGCTGGGCTCCAGGGCCAAGGAGACAGGTCACTGGTGGGGTGTGGGCTCAGAGCTGGCTGCACCCACCCCTGCTGGGTGACCTTGGGCAAGTCACCAACTTCTTGGAGCTCTGGGCTCCCCTCTGAACAACAGGGCAGGACCCGGAGTGCCCAGCTGAGCCGGCACTCAGGCCCGCTCACCGGCAGACGTGTCTGGAGCACTTCTCGTGCACCGTGCACTGGAGTGAGCACGAGGCAGTGACAGGACAGATCCATCCCTGCCTCTGGGGCTGAGCCACGCTGGGAACAGGATGGGTGGGAAGGCAGAGGAGGGGGCGGCTCACAGGAGGGGGTGGGCCTGGGGTGGCTGACTCCGAGACCCCCAAACTGATAGAGCAGGACAAGTGTCCCTGGAGCACTGTCTAAGGTGCTCCGGAAATGAGGATGAAAAGCACGTGGTTCGGGAACAGGGTGGTGGGGAGGCCTGGAAGGTCTCAGGGGAGGGGACACTGAGCTGAGCCCTGGAGGGTGATGGGGTCTAGCCAGCAACCTTGAGGACGACACTGTTGGCAGAGGGCACCCAGTAGGGCTGACAGTCTGGGGACAGGACTTGTGCGAAAGAAAGTGAGGGGCGCCACAGAGGAAGGGAGGGAGCTGGGCCCAGCCAGGCCGGGGGCTGGGGCTGCTGCCCACGTGAAGACGCAGGCACAGAGGAGAGACAAGGTGAAGCCATGGCTGGGAAGAGTCACCCACATGCAGAGGGAAAGAGATCACGGAGAGTCTCGACTGGTGGACGGAGCCCCTAGAGGCTGGACACTGGAGGTGGGGAGACGGTCAGGAGCTGTCTGAGAGACAAGCCCAGAGGACAAGACCGTGTTCTGCAGACACATGACAAATGCCCATCTCAACACCTACATGAACGCCTCTACAGCCTCTTACCCCAGCCCCAGCTCCCTTCCAACCTGACGTCCAGATGTTCTCCTGCTCTGGTTAATCTCCCCCTTTAGTTCCTTCTACTGACCTTTTTCATCCCACCTGCTTCCGTCTGTTCGTTCTTGTGTTAAACAACTTCTCAGCCCCCCTGCGCCCCTCAGTTAGGATTTGTGGACCGCCACACTTTTGGACCTGTGGCCCCAGCAGGTCGCTTGAGACGCACAGGCAGCATGGGGTGCTGGGGGACGAGGGCCGCCTCCCAGCTGTGTGGCCTTGGCTGGAGCCCCACCTGCGTGTCTGTAGAATGAGGCCGTGGACCACGGCCCACAGAACTTTCCCGCCCTGCAGTGTCCTCCCAGGGTGCCCAGACTCAATGTAAGGGGCTCTGCAGACTTGGCACACTTCCCCCTCGGTAACTCCTGTGCTTGTTAAAGGCTAACCTCCCAGGCCTGTCATCAGCTCAGCAGCTGTCCAGCCTTTGTATTCTCCACATTCCCCTCCGGTCTCGCCAGCGTCTGGAGGAAGGACCGTTTTGTCTGAGGGGTTTCCAGTCCAGCCTCCCGTCCAGTGCTTGAACGCAGCGGCCCGGGCAGAACGGACCCGTGCCCTA